CCAAGATGGTGTGGCTTTCAGTATAGTCGCAATCCAACTATGGAAATTATCATGAATATTATGGAATAGTGACAAAATGCATTCCTCTAAGTAGTCCTGAAAATATTACCAAGCTGCGAATACAAGATAAAAACACTTTTTAAAAAAACTAGTGTCTGGTTTATATGATTTAATAAAGGCCAGGAGGATCCTTCATAGTTAAAATAAAGAGCAAAGCCTAATAATGATAGATCAATTTAATCGATTACTGGTGCCATTAGTTTGTGCCGTTAACCGTGTTAGGTAGCTCGTGGACTACGTCAACATGAAGATCCTATTAAAGCCAAACAACTGCAGAACAGGAACTGGCTGTCGTCTTTCGGTGAGATCAACCAACGAATCTTTTCATCATGCATTTCCATACGAAATGGAAGTCCATCCAACAACGTTATCTTAGGAGATTCATTAAAAGCCAACTATTCTTTCTATCTACATCGGCACTATTGGCATAAATAAGGCTTATCCGGTTTGGACCGTCCAGTCCTTTTCAGGCAAGCATACTTGCATGGACCAACCAATTTTCAGTACTCCAACCAAACATTAAGTGAAGAAGCAATAAGATAGGCCTAATATCGGCCAATTAGATGAGGTTAAATTGAGGAGAATAATAGATAAGAAATCAGTCGCCGTGTACATATAAAATCAACTATCCCGAATGAGAGGTATGGGTCAGGTCTAGACTATACACTAATTTTTACGTTCCGATAGAGGGAATTCAACAATGAATAGCTAAAATCTAAGCCTAGCTACCTAACACAATTATGGTTAATTAAACAGCAATTAAAAACGAAGTCGATTATACAAGGTAATGCGAAAATATCCAGGTCAATCAGGTAGGTCAATATAAGTTCCTTCTGGACAGAAAAAGAGAAAATTACCAGAAGATTAAAACCAGTGTCGGGAAAAAGTTAGCGTTTAGATAACTAAACAAGATGCGGTGCAATGAAAACCCCAACCAGAGTAGTAGGAAAGAGTGTAGACCCAGCTGCACTATTATCAGCCGCCGTAATGCGCTTTACTTTAAGCTAGAGGGTTTTAACGCATTCATCGGCATCGTCTAAGAAAAGGGTTTCATCAAGAAGAAAGGAGACATTCGATTATCCAGTTCTGATGAAGTCCTAAAACTATACAAAATAATAGAATACGAATGTATGGAGGAGATAATCATTAAAGGCCAAATACGAGAGAAATCAGAAAGGAACTGGAGAAGGCAGTGGTATTTTAAAAGTTTTTTTCTGAAACATCAGAACAAAAGATGAACTGTACATGTATCTGGGCAGAGATCGAGAACGAAAATGTTTACACATGAGGATGAGTTGCTTTTTAGTATTTGGGGAAGTTTGTCAAACTAACTTGAACAGCCTGGCTGGTACTGGCCGGGACCTCCTGCAACAGGATTGCTGATTCCCGCATTCGTGGGACAAAGGCCGTTGGCCAGATTTTGCGAACCAATTGGATCAAAGGCCTGCTGTTGCTGTTGCAATCGGGCAGCGGCTGCGGCAACCATCCAGAGCTGGTGCTCATGTTGCAGCTGCTGGAGATGTTGCTGAGCTGCCCGTGTGAGTACAAGCCCGTCTCCGGCTACGGACGCGCTGAGTGTCCCGTTGCCCCCTGTCGAGTAGGTGTCGGCCTTGCTGAATATGGGCTGTTGGTTTTGGTGTTGGAGCTGGTGTGGTTGTGGTTGCCCATCTGAGAGAAGTGAATGTTGCTGGTGCTGTTGCTGTTGTTTTTGTTGGTGCGAATAAGAGTGCTGCTGAGGATGGTGGTTTTGACTGTTTGAGAGCACATCATGTGGCGAGGGCAGCAGATGAGTCTGGTTAACGGATGAAAGGAATCCAGGCGCAACCGACTTGCCCGAGGTGCCAACAACAGATAACTGGTGGCGTTTTCTATTGCCGGCTAGGCCCAGGCCCAGGCCAAGATCGAGTCTATGATGTGAGCCTTGCTGATGATTGATGTGTTGGCCATTTTGATTGCGGCTATGCTCGTGACCACGGCCGTGGTGCCCATGGACTAGCCGACGTCGGACGCCGATCAGGTGGCGGCGGAGACAACAGACACTGGTGGCCAGGAGCACTGTGATGAGAAGGAGGCCACCTACTGAAGCCAAGGAATAGAGAACTAGGCTGCGGCGGTCAACACTGCTAGAAGTACTGAGGTCGGTAGGGCGGTTGGCAGCGGCTGAAGAAGGATCGGCCAGATGATTAGCAGTATCGGGGTTCCAAGCATAAGGTGCATTGACCGAGGACCTATCAGATCGGGTAGATACCAGAGATGCTTCAGAGTTGGATGCTTTCGATGGCCAGGCAGTGTTGTTGCTGTGGTCTGAATGAAAGCAGTTAGTAAAACAGTTAGGCTCATCCATTAACCATACATTCTCCACGTTACATAAAAGAGAAGCATCGAGAAATCTGGTGTAGAGTACGGCCCAAACATTGCGCAATTATCGGTCCGGCTAATTCAAGTAAATCAGAATTTGCTGTGGAACCGAGGAAAAAAAACAATTTGACTTAAACTGTCGGTAAGACTGACTAAGGAAACAAGAGAACCCCTTAATAAAAATAGAAAAAGCTCATTTGAATGAAGTTGGCTGACTTATGTTCTGTATTTCGTTTAGAGTAGGTTTTCGTCAGCTCTACTCATATTATTGTTGAAAAATACAAATACCAGTCCTTCATTAGCTTAAACGAAATAGGGTGAGCATAACTCGTAGATTTGAGTTGTGCTCTTCCCTCGAAGATTCGGAAAAGGCGTTTTTAATACAACCACAACTTGATTTGCTCAGCTAATATAACTAGTATACCATAATTGTGAATTCAAATTACTATTGCCTTATCACTGATATTCTACACTTAATTTGCCCTACTGACCTTGTCAGCCAGGACTTAATAATACAGATGTAAATACAAAATGAAATAAATAGCCATAATTAAGTAACATAAGATGGAATTTAAGGTTTGATTCACTGATAAGACTAATCAGCCGTTAATTTTGGTCCTTCAACAAAATTTAAATAAACGATTGATGTTATTAAAGTATATTATTAAGATACAAGTGAAAAAGTAGTCAAATAATCCCTGAGGTGGTTAGATATTTCCAAATGTGAGTGCATTCTAAATAATAGATGCAGAGTTACTTTAAGAAACGCATATTTAAGTGGAGTCGGAGTGATAATATTGATATAAAGTAACAACTTAAGCATTAGCCCCCTTCTTGAGAGGCGTCAAGTTACAAAAAAGAGAAAAAGTCTTCCTCAGATCATCTTTCCCATTAACCCCCCCTATAGGCATAGAACTTTTTCTAACTTTGGCTTATCGAATTTCGTGTATGGAGGAGTAGTGGGCGAGCGGCTACGATAAAGGATGAGACTGGTAGATAATGTCTATTCTGCAAAAAAGAGCCAAGGCTAAATAAAGATAAATGTTGATAAAGGAAGGCTTAACTAAACGAGAATCCTATCGATAGCGAGCCGATTCCTATATTCAACCGAGGATGGGCATACATACTATCTCTTGCGTTATTTTTGCCTCCTACCTCAGGCAGCCATAAAAGTGAGTTCTTGGTCCTAG